TTTCGATCAATTACGATAATTTACTAGAAGCATTCTCTCGAACTACTCTAGTTAACAATTTATGCAACTCAGAATTATCCCACCAAAGTTTCGTTATTTCTAACCCCACTTTTAAATTCAAGTAATTAATCTCTTAACTTCCCCAAAAGTGGTGTTGTTCAACAAAAATCTAACCAAGTGTTCTTTCTCAAGCAACACAAGGTATTAAACACGATTAATCGAGGGCCCTTTCAATTAACCACAATACAATACGTAATTGATCAATCATAGAACAAACACAGCTCAATTATAACAAAATAGAGTCAAGACTTCATCCAACAATTAGTTCCATCAACCCTAGATAATAGATTTAGCTACTCATACTAATGAAAAATAAACCACTAAAATAATTCATAATCAACAAATAGAAGTATGAAGACGAAGATGAAAAATCTTAGGAATGTATCCGTCTTCTCTCCCTCGTTCTTGCCTCTAAATTCTTCTAAAAACAGTTATATCCCACTTCTGGGTGAGTTTAGGTTTCATATAGGTTTAGGTTAGTCGCCTAAGAAACTACATAATTAACCCTGCGTGTTTGGCTTTCGTCCGCCCGTCCGCGGCCACGGATCCGGCCGCCGATTTGGACTGCCTCACTGCCTTGATTTCGCAGACCAGTTCACGGCCCACTCCGCGGCCGCGCACCTAGAGGGGTCGTTTCGCTTTCTTTTCTCACTCCTTTTCGACCGGGCTAACCTTCGATTGCCCTTTCACATTCCATGTTGACTCCAAAACACTCGTTAGCTCCCTCCTAGCTCGGAGTAGCTCCTGCAAAGCATCAAATTATTAATTAGAGCATTTTGTAATCTTTTAGCATTCAAATATCAATAAAGTGCGGCTAAATTAGAGTGTAAGTTGTGTCTAAATTGCATGAATATAGCCTACTATCAATCGCTCCCAGATTTCATGTAGGGGTTCATTAGGTTCTTGTTTAAAGGCTAAGATCTAATCCCTCAATGCTGCCATATGACCCGGTGAGAAAAACTTGGCTATAAACTTTTCTGCCAACTCATCCCACGTGTGTATGGAGTGGTTGGGTAGCTTCTCGAGCCAGTCCAAAGCTTTCCCTCTAAGTGAAAATGGGAAAAGTCTCAATCTCAGAGCGTCCTCCGATACGTTCGTCTGCTTGCTCCCCCAACATGTGTTTACAAAATCCTTTAGATGCTTGTATGCGTTCTGATGAGGAGCTCTAGTGAAAAAGCCCCTCTGCTCCAATAGGGTCAGCATGACATTTGTAATTTAAAAATTTCCCGCTCGAATTCGGAACGGGACAATTGCACTTGCGTAACCTTCATTGGGTAGCACCCGGTGTGCTGCCAGTGGAGGAGGTGGGGGAGGGTTTGGAATGTTGTCATTAGCCTGGCGGCCTCTTCTTTGGACTTGAGGTTCTAGATTAACCTCATCCTCACCATTGTCATCTACCTCCTCCCCCGGAAGAACATGTCCGTGAGCATCATTATGAGCCATTTGGTACCTAAAGTGATTGATACACAAAAGTTAGAAAACAGAAGGAAAGAAAAACAAGACACACAAATAGTTAGATAGATAGCCAACACTGTCTAACTCCCCGGCAACGGCGCCAAAAAGTGATCGAGGCCAAACCTACACCACTATAGAGTAGCGAGGATGGTCAATGCAGTTTTCCTCAACGAGGTCGGGATTGATTTCCACAGGGAGTTAATTTGGCTTGGAGTTGGGTATCTAACTAATCTAAATGTGCGTGTTGTTCCTAATTGCACTTCCAAACATTGTTGTGATTGATTCTATTCTAATTTTATACTATTGTATGCTAAGTGTAAGCTAAGTACAATATTTGTGGTGAAAGTTTTCAAGTGTTAAAAGGCATTAGGGAAGCGACTTCCGCCTAGGTGAGTATCTAATGGGTATCAAGAATCTAGGACAAGCTTGTTATGATTGGGGTCGTGATATAACCATCACACATAAGTGCTCACTCTATACCTCTCGGTAGTTTGAGTGACTTTGCCCGATTTGGCTTTCTCAAGCCCAAATGGGTGTTCATACAATACAAGTGAAATTGGCTCAAGTCGGGTATTACTATCTCTAGGTTTAACCCTTTAATTGGGGCTATCAATCTCTTGAGTTTACCCCAATTCCTTGTTAGCCTAATTTTTCTAGACTTAGTCCATCTTTCTCAAGAAGAGCCTAAGTCATAAAGGCATGAGTCAGTGTTTGCAACCACTAATTCTACAATTTTAGCATGAACTAGGCTAAATATCACTAACCCATAAATAATTAAGCCCTAAAATTCAAGACCCATTAAATGCCCACACTAGGGTTGGGTCACAACCCTAGCTATGGGGTCTAGATACTCATAATAATAGCAGAAATCAAAGATAAAGATGAAATATAAGCCATAATATTAAAGTACAAGATGAAAATCTAAAATTTGAAGGTAATTCTACTCTAAAATTGCCCAAAAAGGGAAAAACCAGTCGTTCACGTGCTCTGCTAAACAAAACTTAACCTAAAATTGATAAAAGGATCTATTTATACTAGGCTGAAAATTCCGAACAAAAATTCCCCTGCGGGGGTTTCGCGAACGCGTAATTCTGACCGCGTCCGCGCTTGGGCTTTCGCGGCCGCGTAATAGTGAGCGCGGTCCACGTTTTTTCATATCTGGGCCTGGGTAGATCTTCGTTTCGCGGACCGCATAATGTTCACCGCGTCCGCGTGAGATTCCTTCGCGGCCACCTAATTTGGACGCGGACCCGCCTTCTTCATTTATGCCCATCTTGCAAAGTCTCTGAACCTTGACAAACGTTGTCCGCTAAATTCAAACCGCGGCCGCGCCAGTCACTTTGCGGTCGCGTCTTTCTGCCGCTCTCAGCGCTCAATTTTAGTGCTCAAAACAGCCTCTCTGAATCTCTATTTCGCGGTCCACGGAATAATGGCTGCCTCATCGATGATAATTTTGCGGCCGCCCTTTTCTATCGCGGTCCGCGTTCCATAGTATTGGTCCAGACTTGGTTTTTGTTAAGTTTGACTCCTTTGTGAGTTGGTTATGGCTTCTTTGGCTCATTTCGAATAAAACCCAGCAAGCAAGCACATTAAGTTTGTTTCCGGGAATACCTTCACGTATTTTTGGCACAAAACCTAAGTAAAAAAGAGCAAATAATAGGCTAAAATCCCTACTTATCACTTAGCTACTCAAAATTGTGCTCATTCACCAAAACAAACGATGTCTTCCTATTCATCTTTGCTTGTCATCACACTTCGTACCCTACTCATAGCAGCTTTTAGCTAATGTTCCTCCTCCAAGAACCTTTAAGTACATCAATGAAGGCTCACTCAGTGAATACTTTGTTGAATACAATGCATATCATCGTGTCTTAAACATTGGTACCTTTCCCTTCACGCTTTGTTAATTTATCTACCCCAAATGCCTTCATCCTTGGGCTATGAATGGGTCATCGCACATCTGAATCCGTCATACGATGGGTTTGGGAGGCTAATCGTGGCAATCCTGTGCGCGAGAATGCTACTTTAACCTTTGGCAGAGACGGGAATTTGGTGACACGGTAGCTTGGCAAACTAATACTCTTTTACGTAATGGCAGATTTCTGTGGCGAAGTTTTGATCACCCAACCGATACACTTTAGGTGGGTCAATCTCTAAGTGCTAAAGGCCCATCTAGGCTAATTAACAGAAAATCCAACAGAGAACCTGTTGATGGGCCTTATAGCATTGTCCTTGTAGGAAGACATTTGGGCCATGTTCTCTCATGTGAGTGTGAATCAGGAAATTACAATCAATGACCTTAAAAATTAATGGTCTTGATTTTTTGACCCATACTTTCCCCATAGGCAAATCTTTAGGTCAAAAGTGAGGCAAGAGAGGGGAAACACTAGTTAAACTTGACGATCTGCCCATGGAGCAAATAGGGTCAAAAAATCAATAGTGGCGCAAATCAGCCAGTGTGAATTCACAAAGCCTTTACCATACTTTAAATCAAACGACTATGGGAATGGAAAGTGCTCTTCGGCCAACTTCGTTTTCTATTGTGAGTCAGAATATGGTGCAAACCATGTCTTTGAGCTAGAATTTGGGTTCAACATGACCAACTCTCCTAGCTTTGGCACTTCCATCCATATTTATAGGCCCAAATACAACAGTACGTACAATTTGTTTAGAGTTGATATGGATGGTAACCTTAGAGTTAGAATGTAAACTAATTATAAACCAAATAATGTTGAATGGTGGGCACGGGAGATCACTTATCAACTTTTCGACAGGGATAACAATGGAAAAAAGTGAATTCAAGATTCCGAGGAGGTGTGGATATATAATATCGTTGGGTGTTTACGAGGATAGCTAGTCATGTGTGGCGTTTCCGAATCTTCAAGGCTTGGTTGGGTGGAGCAAGGGTTGTGCACCACTAAGTTTGTCACCATGCAGGTGAGGATCAAATGTGGACTATTACAAAGGTTGAAGGAGCTGAACATTTCGCTAGTGATTATATTGAAGGCATTGGACCTATGCAACTAGCTGAATGCAAAGATAGGTGCAACGAAGCTCTGCAAATGTGGCTACACCAAGATCTCAAAGTAGTTAGATGAAGTTATAACTTATTGTATTTATATTAAGCAAGCTTTTTTTAAGTAACTTTTAATGTGGTTTTCTCCGAAAGACAAACAACAATAGATGCATTAGCATACCAGATTCTGTTAATCAGGCTAAGAGGTATACGAGAGATCAGCTGCATTTTGGATTTTTTCGTCTGAATATCCAGTGTCATATAATACAATCATAATTGTCTATACCATGTATCTAAACCAAGTTTAAGAAAAGCAGTCCATCAGAAACTTGAACTACAAAGCCTTTGTTGACCATTTATGACAAATCACTCTGCTCATACATACCACATAGACACAGAAGGATTTAAAGAAAAGAAAAAAGAAGGAAGAAATAACCCTTTACGCAAAAAACATATTAGAGATTAGATGTATAACAAGGAGTAAATAGTGTCTTATTAAAAACAACCAAGTGCTGAAAGAAAACTGAAATACTCCAACTATTAATGACTTCTGCAGTAATTGATGTCAAGTGTAGCAGCAGGGAAGTAATTCAATTTACAGCAATAATTAAGCAGTGGAAAACTCCCTTCACAATTTTCCAAAAGAGAATTATTCCTGCTTTTTTTTCATTGACAGAAACTGATTATCTAACTAAATTATTTAAGACTAAGACTTTATCAGTATATAACTTAATAATCTACTAATAAGAAAACCTAGCTAGCTAGCTAGAGCTAGCTAGTATTCAGGTAGACATTTGTTGGCAGGCAGCAACATCTTCTTATCTAAGATGCATCCGATTGTGATCGACCACCCTATATCTGCAATGAATTTGGTAAGCAAAAAATTAGAATTATCTTGGAAATAGAAAAGAAAAGAAAAACCTTAAACAATTTGACATTAATTGAATGATTGTAGAAATATCCGTGAAAAAGTAATGGTACATGCATCAATGTTTGATAGTCATTCTAGCCTAGCTCTCTAGGGTTGCCTGTATATATAAATTAGTCATGTAATGGAATCTAGCTAGGTACGTAGGTCGCAAAGAATATCTGATCTATATGTCTATATAAGAGATCAAAGAAATGAAATGACATACTACATGCCAGTTTAATTAGTATTAACTTACATGCATGCATGCTTCAATAATGAGATAAGTTTGCTATACTACTCTAAGGTTTCTCTGGGTCTTTGCAGTAATCTGCATGACCCTCGATCGAACTTTTTTTTATGGACCGTACATGTTTCAAAAGACCATAAAATCTTACTCGCACCTGTGATTTACATCAATCTAATATTTTTACACTATCGATTAAATTTAACAAGTTATAATGAGCTAGAGGCCTAGCTACGCGTTCGGTAAAATGCAGTAGTTTTGCCAAAATCCTCTATTTGTGTGATACATCAAAATGATAGGGAAAACAGAATATATAAGTTTCCTAAAGTTAAAATGATAATGGTGCAGAAATTCCATGAAGAAAACCTGATATTAACTTGATACGTTGCTAAATAGATAATATGTGGGCTAAATGAATGATGAGACTTAAGAATTAAGGCTATGTTATTGGCGGACGATTATCATTCTTCCCATTATCACTCAATTTTGAAAAGATTTAACTTATATGTATTGATAACGTAAAAGATATCTGCACAATCAGGTCACTTATAATTATAAATAAATTTCTGTAATAATCATTAATTGATAACATGATAAAAATGATAAATATTACGATAGCACATTAAAATGTGATGACAATGTATTATAATATTGCCACTGTATATAACTTAATTAAGATAACCATCATTCTCAATCAAACCCTCTAACAACAGACTACCTTGCTCGATAGACACTTAAGATAGCTCAGTAGGAAAAAAAAGACACCAAATGGCTTAGAATCGACATGACCTTGAAAGTCATACTTCATGACTCTTTGAGAGAAAGTTTAGCCATATAGCACTAAAGTCAATTCCTTGATACCAATAACATCGGGTTCCCATCAAGAAAAAACAGTAGTAATATAAGAAACAACCAAAAGAAAGTAAAAGAAAAAATATATTTTCACCTCATGATAGAATGTTACTCAATCTACTCACAGCTTTCACCTCACACATAAGGCAAGATATCAATATATTAAGCTAACCAATATGGAAAAAAAACTTAATTGTTTATTCTTGTCAATGAGCACCTACATGTCAAGTACTTTTCTCATAAACAGGCCGCTTTTGTGCGGGATTTAGGCAGAGACCCTTATCTGTATATTAGAATTCAAAAGCGAATTCAATAAAAAAAATGCTTGTTCTTAGCAACAAAAAAAGAAAAATTCAAAAGTGAACAATACATTTACCTCTTGATTATAATCTGGAAGAATTGAACATTCTCAATTCCTTTAAAAAAAATGGTTAGATGATCAAAAGTATAATGAAGGTGATACAGTACTTGTCAACATTGACAAATGAGTGTGGGGATATTGATGCAATTAGCAGGAAGTAGACCAACGGGGACTTTTGTGGTTCCAACAAAAAGATATGATAACAATCAAATCGTGTATAAGATTATTACTTCATGTTAAGTTGATTGACCAGCATTATTGATTAATTCTTAAATTTAAGCCATCTCGAGTTTTGTCATGAACTAAATCATTGAGCCATCTGCTGATATGCACTTCAAACGAACTATGCATGTGAACAATTTTCCTTTGGTTTAACCTTACTCGTAATAAATCTTATTGCACAAGCAGACTGAGGATTTCAAAGTACGCATTAAGGTTAAATTTTCTATCGGATAGCAGTCGAAATTTTATAATACTTCATTGAGAAGTAAATAGACTACAATAAGTTATGGCTTAATCACGTGTCCGTTGATTAACAGTCAATAGAAAGTGCAAGCTAAGTGGAGTGATTAGGGCGTTTACTTAGAAATCAGACACAAAAAGAATCAAAGTCTACAAAAGATCATATATATCTTGAACATCTCAGATACTCTTCACAGGAGAGGATCATTAAAATCCCAAAGAAGAAGTCTAGAGACATTCCTAAGAAGGAACATAACAAGCTACAAAAGGACCACGTACTTGCAAAAATATATTCTTCATATGTGACTATTTACTACAAATAATACGAAAAAAGGCCTTGACTGCTAAAACCTACGTACAAAAGGCAAGCATAATATTCGTCTGGAACTTTTTGTAGTAATCATTACATATATGCTTGTTGGAGATGTACAGGCGATTCTATTAATTATATAATTTAAATTAATGGTTGAAGACTATATAGGCATTCCTAGTTTTGTTTCCACTTCAAAATTACTCCAACTATAGTAACATCACATGGTTTGTTCATGAGCACACAAAATCTTTCCAAATCTTTTAAGGGCCAAGAACTATTGAAAACAGATAGTAGTATATTTTAAGAGAAGCAAATTCAACAGTGAAATTAATAAACTGTTTTTNTATGTTGATCAGTAGCAGCAGGTGCACCAATGGTAGCCTTAATAGGATTATTAAGCTTCCTTTTCTTCTTCTTCTTATAAGGAATCCCTCTTGCCTTAGCTTGACACTCCTTTACTTCTCTCAAATAAAGGCGAATCGCACCATTCCCAAATGGATTATTCTCAGGTGAGCCTCCATTTTCTTCATAAGCAGCTCTAAGTCTACCTATCAAAGCATCAAGACTGCCCCAAGCTTGCCTTAGAGGGCAAGTACAAGGAGCAGGCGGATCAGGTTGTCCGAAAAACACACAACCATGTAAATGAACCTTAGTCTTTCCGAACTGGTCGAGATATCGGAGGAATTCAAGAACATGGTTGCAATTACACTGTGATAATGGAACTGGTGGTCTCTGATTCTTTAAGTACTGTCCAAAAGTATTCCAGTCTCTCCTCTTTTGTGACTCATATCGGCTCAACGGTGCTGGATTTTGCAACTGTTCACCGCCAGATCGTGACGATCCTTCGGGCAGCTCCTTTGCCATGACTATAGCTGAAGGATTCATTTGTTTTTTTGGGTAAGAAAATTTAGAAGGAAAGAAAAAATGGAAGGGTGCAGTGTAGAAAAAAAGATGAAAATCACATCCTTCAGTCCACTAAGGAGACATTGCATGGGGCCCTTATTAGAGGTGCTTTTGTTCTTTCTTTTATTTTTTATTTTTTTATTTTTATTGATCTCTCACTTTCTTTCATTTTCATTCTTCCTTTTTTAATCACAATATTATCTTCACTAAACATATAACATATTAAGGGTAACATCATCCTTTCAAATTGTTCTAGTTTTTAATTAATACCATACCACAAGTGTTGGTACCCGTGACTTGTTAGTCGGTCCAATTTGCCTTGTACTGAAAAAACACATTTCGTCCATAAGAAAAATTTTCCTTTATTATGAATAAAAATTACAGTAAAATTTCTCCCGATGAGATTTTGATGTACTTATTGGATTTGTGTAATTATCTCATTTAACAGCTAAGTTATTATAGACAATATATTTTTATTTACTCAATTATATCATCAACACGCTCTCCTCAGATGCAATTCTGCTTCTTTTTTTCATGAGTCAAGTATGTGAAAATTCTTTTTGATAGTGGGTGACGGTAAACGCAAAACTAAGTATTCTCTAATACCATATTGAAGTTGTGACTATCTCATTTTAGTTATTGTTTGAAAATCGAAATTTCTAGTCAAAGTTCAATTTAAAATTTAAAATTTAAAATTTAAAATTCAAATATTATGAAAGGGCTTATAGGGCTTAATTTGGAAGTGTTTTGGATATTATTAGTATGTCGAAAGTGAGCTTGTCACAAGTCCTTATAGCCCCTTTTTCTATCAAAAATTTCTTCTTCTTTTCACGTGTAAATAGGGACAAAAATAACTGTGAATTTGGATTTCAGGCTACTTTAATTAATAGTATTGAAGTAAGTTAGAAGATTTAGTCGCTTATTAAAGCTCTCCAATAAAAGAATGAGTTCACAAAATACTTGTAAAGTTTACACAACCCATAATCATCGCTATTTTGTAAAAGTATAGTCAATATGTCCAGTGATGACTCTAGCTAGTAATTTGGTTGTTAATTAATGTCATTGCTCATTACATTCTTTTGTCACGAATTGACCTAAATAGGTTTAAAATTACGATATATCACAAAATACTTGTTTCTGAATTGTTTTTGGGAATTTAAGCCCAAAGAGGCAAGTCTTTTCTGCCGATATTATGCATGCCATGACAAACACACATGATTGTATTTGCAGACATGACATGCATTCATGCATATGCCCTTTGCACCAAAAGTATAATGAAATAAATGTAGGTACATTATAAGGAGCGGTAGTAGTTTCCAAATACACGAAAATTCGTCACTATAAAATGATGAAATTTGATGTTATTCCCACTTGTGTTTTAACAGAAGTTCGTCTTGAAAAAAGTCTTTCACAATAAAAGTTAAAAATATTCATTGTCACGGTTGATATCTCTTATGATACAAATAGGACACGTGATCCGAGTAATTGTAGAAGGTTCTACATGAAACGTTATTATTCTCTCTATTTCAATTTAAATAACACATTTTCCTTATTAGTTCATTTCAAATATAATGATACATTTCTATATTTGAAAACAATATAACTTTAAACTTTTTATTTTACCCACTTTATCGTTAATGAGAAATTTTTATAGCGATACAAATATAATGGTTCCACAAAGCTTTTGTCCTTTAAGCTTTTAGGACCACATGTTTCAAAAGTATTCTTTTTTTTTCTTAAATTTTATGTTAAGTCAAGTAAATCATCTAAATTGAAACGGATGGAGTATTATTTTACCTACTAGCAATTAATTTGTGGCTGAAATGGAGGGTCCCAGAGATCATTTGTTTGTTGATTAGGTATAATCTATTCTGAGTAAACGCGTTTTGTCATTGTACTCTTGAGGCTGCTTTTAATGTAAGCTATACTAAGCTAATTAATTAGATTTCATTAAAAAAAACTAGGGCCATGATTATAATACGGTAAAAAAACGAAGGGTTGTTTAGAGAATGGAAGGACCAAATTTATATTCTTGGAGTGTGCATAAACGTAGGGTATTTTCTTTTCAATTTATCTAAAAAATAATATTATTTTACTTACAAATAATTTTTAACTTTAATTTTTTTTCTTAATCTTTAGTAAAATAACTTATAGTGTCACGTTTAGTCCAGAAATTTTTAAAAATCTTTCTATTTTCTTAAACTCTATATTCAATCAAACACTATCACAAAAAATAGGATAGAGAAAGCAATTAATTACCTTAGGAGACTTTCTTGGAATAGGTATGTATAGGGTTATATAGACGGCCTCTTAATAGAGTTTAATCGCTAAGACCAATATATATTAAGACAATATACGGTATGTCAGTATTGATACAAGACTAAACATGCTAGAAGATGATCATATACGACAAAAAGTACATGAGATGCACGTACACAAAGTATAAAATGAGATAATTAAGATCGTTTAAGATGTGATTTAGTCATATTCGACGGAGACCTCTAAATATACTGATCCTTAGACGTAAAACCATGTCGATTGTAAGTGTTTAAAAAGAGCAACGTAGAACCAAAATCACGTGCAAATAAGTCGTCTTGAAATACGATCTGTCAAAAATCTGCCCATATTTAACTAAAAACATATTACACACGACAAGAAAGATCCATATACCGAAAAACAATACAAACTAGTTGGGATTAAAACCTTAGCTGTTGGGACACTTACTTAAAGTTTGGAGTTTGGTAGGAGCTCTTTTAGCTTTTTTACAATGTCGGGATAATCTCTAGCATTGCACAATCCCTTATTCCAACTTAAGACAAATTTATTGAGTATTTTAATACTGGGTTCAAATAGTGAAAATGAAACCAGAATTTATATAATCGATCCCAACTAGTATACCACTGATGCTAGTTATTGTTGTAGAGAGATTTCGGTGGAATAATAACAAAATTGCATTCGCTATGGTTTGCGTGCTTGGGTGTGTATCTTCTGTAGGGTTTTAGAAAAATATTAGTCAGCTTATTTTTATGTCAGGTGTCCAAACAAACAAATACGAACATCTAATTAAATAGTCGATACTGTTTCATATTAGCCAATTTAAGGAACTTTCCTCTGAACACTAACATTCCTTCTCTTTTTCTTTTCAAGTAATAACGTCAATTGGTTTGAAGCAATTTCTCAAATTTGTCGAGAAAATCTTTCCAAGAGAGATGGGTCCAACCATGAGGTACGTAGTGTTTTCTGGTTCAACATTATAGTGCTTCTCTGTACCGGGCAGCATCTTTATGGATAGCAGAGTTTCACTATCATCCTAAAAGGGGAAATCTTTCAAGAACATAGCTAATGGCTATTTCTTATGCCAATTCATAAAAAGATCCTTTGCCTTTGCTTTCTTTTCAAGAGCAATTAATCATGTGAGAATATAATAAACAAGGAATGTGGTGTAATAGATGGATTCATCCACCCTTAATCAAAAATTTCGATTTCGAACTTTGAGAATGAAACAAATTCTTGATAGAAATTAATGTTCCTCTTAAATGAACTCTATGCAAAAAAATCATTTGGAAGGCTAGCTACTATAAATAGGTACATCCTTCATATATTTTCCAAAATACACTAACGAATTTCAGGAAGGGGGCATTAGAGTAAGGGTATATTAAAGTTGTTTCTGTAGGGTTCGAACCGTGAAAGCAAACATTACAGTAGACTTCTACGTCACACCTCTTGAAGTGGGAATTTTTTCTGAATTCTGTGTGAACGTGAAATACTTTGTACATCCGACTGAACTTTTTTTTTACACTAACGAATTTCAGAAAACTCACACTTAGGCTAATGAATTAATGAGTTAGTGCATTGATACCAAATTTGGATGACCAGAAAAGAACAAAATAGAACAAAACTTTACCGTTTTCTTAGTTTACATCTGGCAGCAAAAATATCTCTAGTTGAAAGTTGAAACACAAGCCATCTCATGACCTTAGCTCAAAAATTTCCTCCCAAATAAACACTCCTAGCTGATACCCACCCTTCCGTTGAAGTAGGTAGCTTCATTATTAAATATTGTTAGATGAAAAAGGGCTTGTTATTGGTGCCAAAAAAATCCAGTCATGAGATACTGTCTCCTGACTTTGTGTTTCCACTAGTTTGTTATATTATTAATAATAGATGCTAATTCCTATATCCTACCTGCTTCCTAGCTCATATATATTTTGCTAATTGGTCTGTTCATCTAATTTAAAGTTAGTAAGAGTACAACAGTATTTTTTTTTCAAATAACATCTCACTTGGCTCCATCTTTGCATTAAATACTGATTTAAGCACCCTGACGTTTTAATTTTTTTAGCATTTTAAGAAATATCTACAGACATTAACTTAATTAAATTCATTGTTGGTAAAACTAATCGTTACAGATTTGGGAAAATAGGAATTTGAATGGGGGAATTAGATACTATTTGTCTTGATAATCACTTGAAATTGGGTGGGAAAATTTAAAAAAGAAAAGAAAAAGTGAAAAACTGGAACATAATCTATTTTCAATGGTATTGGTCGAATTTACATATATAGCCAAAGATCATAGAAAGAATTCAGTAACTGGAGAGGGGAATGGTCATTTTTATCAGAGGAATCTTGAATGATTTGACCATATTTGTTGTTTGACCAGGGATGGATATTTATACCTACATACCTCACAGAGATATTTCTCATTCTTAAAATGGATGAAGAAATTTACAAGACGAACCTCTAATCCTCAATAGTCGAATCATTGATATTATTAATAGTACTTATATTGAAACGTCACAATGTCTGATCACAGGTGCGATCCAACTATATTTATTTGTGAGAGAGATGATTCTGTACGTTTGTCTACTTATTCTGTCTTGCTATTTTCATGTTTCTACCACACTCTTGCCCTTCTCATTCTTATATTCATTCTTGATGCCCTCTCATATTCCAGCTTCCCAAGATTAGATAACTCAAAAGACTAGACATAAATAAAACCAGCAATATGTCATGAGCAGTATTGTTGTAAAAAAATAGCAACTCGTTTTTCTTATCAAGTCCTTTAATTTAGACTTTA